ATTTTAAATATTCGAATACACTAAAATACAAAACTTATATATGCATTAAAAATTAGTATTCCGGATTATAATATGTAAATGTAGGAATATAACTGTAGATTCGTTTGCAAAAACTGTAATTATGGATTTACTAGCCCAGATTATCGAGGATTAATTCGTAAAAGTTCTGAATTTATTTGCAGAAGTTGTTAAATAATTGATCACTCTTTACTTCCATGATAATTTTAAATGATATCAATCCTTTCTGAAAGATATGCGTTGCTTTTTATATGACCTCTTATCTTTTGAAATATCACAGCTTTCATAAAAGTATTCCATTGTAACAAATGAACCGTTTTTCATTTTTAGGGAAGTATAAGAAATTGTATTAATCAATGGTAAAATCTTTCGTCTTTGGGGAATATTAATAATAAAGTCATGTCGTCAAATGAGATAGAGATAAATGCTCCTTTGCTATGTTATTTTTTTTTCCTCCTGTTGAAAAAATGTTAGTTTGGTTTTTATTCTTAGGTTACATAAAATTATCTTTCACTTTTATCAATGTATGTAGCTATGCTTTCTTTCTTATGAATGAATTCTGCAGTGATCTAGCATTCAATGTTAAGTTATATTTATTTCTAAGAATATTCCTGACCGTCAATATCTATTGCATTTAATATTTTTTAACCTAAAAAGAATATGATATGAATCTTACGATATGAATGGATAATATCATTTTTAAGAGGAATAATTAACGGAAACAGTTTTGAACTTTTTTTCTTATAAAGAAAAAATATGTATTGAATTTATATTTTAATACTGCATGTCTTAACTGCGAGTCTGTCTTTATTATTTCTGGGAAAGGTAACTTCGTTTCATGTATATGCGATTTCATTTGTTATCTAACAGTTATATATATACCTTATAAATCCAACTATCTGTACCCCGAAAATGAAAATAATTTATCATCTAACTTAAGTAGACTTGTCAGACGAGCTGAAAGTAAGTGATAATTCATTTTCAGCTCCCATTCGAAAAATAAGGATGTGAGCCTTGTTAAAAAGACTCTTATGGAGCCAACAGTTCGTCTTTCTCAGTTCTTCCAACTTCTAAGCATGCACTTCATTTAGCACTCTGGTAATAGTGTGATGATATTTAATTTGATTCTCAGGTAATCATTCTCACGCAATCACAAGATTTTTGCTCCTTAGCTGCGTTCTTGCTTTTACTAGTAAAATACAGTTATGTACTTTTGCTATGTAGTCAAAGATGTTTGGAGAAAAAAGGACTTTTTTTATTACTTTAAATTAAATGTTACCCCATTTGCTAAGGAGTGGCATAGACAGAACTGAAGACAGTACTATCTATGAGCTGGATGATATTCATAATGAAATGGAGGACGATGAGATTCGTCTTGAGTTGCATTAAGTAGACACATTGGAAAACTGCTGGAAACTTCCCCGTCGTATATGAATATTAAGAAATGTGATTCATGTACATTAGAATTAAATAAAATAAAAGCAATATTTTTCAATTATTTAACTTATTGTATCATTTTTGGGATCACATACTTTGTAAATAATTTTGAACTCGTATATAAGCTGACTCCTAAACTTAAGTTGTAAAAAATTCATTAAAACTTCTTGGTTTGTACACATAAATATGGTGTATGCCATTAATGATGTCTGATACCCGTTGTTCAAAAATGTTGCCTTTTGCTTATATAACTATGTCTGTTAACACGCTACACTACCGATATGTTATAATATTGACTCAATATATGCAATTCCAGTAATAAATGTTCTCATAATAATTTAGATAATTTTATAAAAACGGATTCAACACGGTGGTTGGAAATGATTAGTAAAAGAAAGTTCAGCTTTTTCTATAGTCTCCTTCTTTCCAGTTTATAAAATAGTCGTTATTATTAGTAACATACTCATTAATTAACAGTAAAAACTGCTGCACCTGTATATGCAAACTTTCGAGATTTTTTTCATGAGATCTGTTATGAATTTAATAACGGTTGTTGTTATGTCCAAGACTCAAATATTAGTCTCCAAAACAATAACTTTCATTTTGCAGTTGCTTTCTAAAAAATTTTGAATTTGAGTTGAAATTGTTCCAGATAAATCTGTTCTTAAATATTTTTAATTTGAATTAAAGTGGCTTAGAAAAGTGACATAATTCGTAAATTGATGCTTAAATACCTTCATGAACGTTTCGTGGAAAAGTAAGGAACTTCCTGATACTAACCAAAGTGATTGTTTTATCAAGGGGAATCTATCCTTTGCAATAACCACTGAAAAAATTGGATTTTGTTTTAATATTTCCCGAGCACAGTACTGGAATTTCCTTTATAAAATTTTTTCCTTCATTTTAAGGAATTTCTAATTGGAAAGTGGACTTGACATCAAGGAGCTTTTGAAAAATATAGAGGTATAAACTATTGGATATGAAAATCCCATGTAATTAATTTTCAATTAATTAAGACCTTTAGCTGTCGGTTTTTAATGCATTTGTAATAATAATTTAACCAATAACTTAAATATCGCGTTACTCTGCTAGATACATAAATGTACTATTTTGTCATAATTATAATTTTTACAGCACTTTAAAATTTAATGCGTAGGATTTCAAACTCAAATTCCATTAGAGTATTTATTTCTACTCATTATCTTCTGTTGATTTTATACAATTTCTGTGATTTTTCATCGAAATTTTCAAGGACTTCAGAAACTGATATTCAGATTAGCAATAATAAGTGCCGACATGAAATATGGTATCAGTTTCTGTCTCCGGGTTTCAGCCTTGTGTTTATATCGACAACTTCATTCAAATCTATAAGGTGTTTTTCTATTACGAAAACCACTTTGTATATTTTAGGTAATAAATGGAAAACTGCAATAATCTGAAAAAAAGTGTTTTTTAATTAAGAAAAACACTTTGAAGATAACAACATAAGCAATAAGCACATTAGTGTTTATTGATTATGTTGATAACCCCCAGAAATCTGACTTTTTCGAAACATTACAGTTTTAGGTAAATTTCAGTCCAGTAAATGTAATTGAATTAAATTTCTTCATTTAGTGAAAAATTCTTTAAACTGACCTATTGTTTAACTTGATAGTGTCACAAGTTTATCTTTTCTTTCAGCAAAATATTACGGTATTTATAAAAATTTTACATATTTAATAAATTTTTAATTCTCATAATATTGGAAATTTCCTGTTAAGAATTATTATATTAAAATTACATATTAAGTTTATTATTATTATATTAAAAATAGATTTGTTATCAACAACTGTCTTCTTAACTGAAATAAAGAACTCCATGTGTCTATTTTAAATCCCAAGGTTTGATAGCGACCTTACGAAAAAAGAAAAGCATATCGAACGCAAATAGAAATTTAGGTCGGTTGATTGAGAGAGACTGCACTGTTGTCTGAGCAAAGGTAAAGTTCTTGAAGGAAATTGTTACTCCAACGAATGGTACAAAGAACACGAAATCGGAAGAACACCATTACGTTATAGGTCACAAAAAGTACAATACGCTTACAATTTTTATAAGAACTTATGAAAGCAAAATATTCATGTGATTTGTTTTATTGCTAGAATCACTTTATTACATTTTACTGAAATCAAACTCTCAGTATCTTGAAGAATGCCCGTGTTAAATTCATACTTCTGTATCGTTATTTGAAGAAACATTTTGAATGGGAATTAATATTTCTTTTTACGCGAATACTGCATTATACTTTTAATTCCTTAACTGCTATAATCCTTATTTAATGAATGTTTCTTCGATGAACAGTTTAATAATGTTTTAAACAGTTTAATAATGTTTTAAACTGTATCGGGGGTAATAAATGTGTCATTTTTACGTTGTTGTCTTAAGCTCTTAAAGTTTGTGCATCTGGTGTTCATTCAGTTTTATTAAATGGATGACTGTAGTGCTCAGTCTGTGTGAAAAAAGTACTGTTCTCAAGAATACAACAAAAGATTTTTCGAGATTTTATCATTTCATTGCTTTCAAAAGAATCGGTATATCTTACTAACTACATGCATCAAAGAACCATTTTAATTTAAGCATCCAATTCTAAATAAATAGGAGCGGCAATAGACGAACAGTCAGTGATAAGATCACAGAACAGCATGTATGCAACTCAGAATTGAGTTTTGCAAAACGTACCAGGTATGCAAATGATCACCCATTCTGATAATACATATACCTGTCGTTTTGATAGAATTTGATAAAAGACAAATTGTTATTGAATGGTGTGTAAAAATCAGCTTGAAACAGAGTTGCTTGCGTGCGGCTATCGTGAGTATGTATTAGAAATGTTGAAAACATGGACAAACCATGAACTATCGTTCAGGTATATGTGTCAATCGATCATTAATATCTCAAGGAAACAGAAACTGTCACAAATTTTTATAATGAAAACAGGGCTTTGTTCAAAAGTGGTGAACAGAGTAATGATTTGCAGTCTACAGTTCTTCGAACCCATCTGCATATTAAACCGTGAATCCAGTAAAACTGCATTCCACTGACGGCAACATAAAAATAGGAATAAGAAACAATTTCCATGCCCGGTGCAGAGGCTACGCGCAATTTCACCATTTATTCAAGAAGCCATCTTCAGTGGGATACTCTGGAGAAGGGACATTAGCCAGCAGAAAAGCTCAGATGTTGTGAACGATAGTTTGATAGTAAATTTTGGGGCTTATTATCTCAATAATACAATCCCTAGCAGCTGCCTAGTGTCTGAATATCATTGCGGACCAACTTCATATACGTTGGGTTCCATGTTGGTGATGTACGCTACTAGAAACATGTGGATGATAGCCATTAAAAGTAAACATGCGCCATTCCATAGGTTTGTCGAGTGGACGTAATACTGATAATATCTTACTATTCTTATTCAGATGCTGGGATTTAACCTAAATTTTTATCCAAAAATAATTCTCTATTCTTATTTATGTGGTTAGTGTTGTTTTTTTAAATAAATAAACATTCGCTTTGTGATTAGAAATTCTTTTAATAGACGTACAGATAAAATAAGGCAAAGCAGATCCAACAATTCCCTGTCCCCGCTTTGCCTTATAAGTTATACAACTGTTTAAATCGCTATTCACAATGACATCGATAATCAGCCTTACGTTATTGCACAAAACTATAGGCTTGCATGTACATCAAAATGAATTAGCATTAAATCAATCAATCATCCCATGGCTTCTTTGCAAGACAGGAAATGATGCAACAGGTGACAACGTTATACAGCGACTTCGATCCCAGAAAAAAATTCCTAAGATCAGTTTACAGGGGTTAGGGTGAATTAAGATTCCAGGTTTTAAAAGGAGCTTACAAGAAATGTCGAAGCACCCAAACCTGGAATAAAAAAGCACGGAAATTGATCTTTCCACTTCCCTCGATCTTAAAAATCCTTGTGTTGTCTACGGGAGACTCTCTGAAACTGGAGAGAACTTTGAGCATCAGAGGCAACCTTGAAAACGAAAAAGAAACATACAGAAAATTCACGAATTGTAGATCAGTATATAAATAGGAAACTTAACCTCCTACGCTGCGATATATACACGTTTACAAGAGGCAAACAATTATCTCACAGTGGCTGGTTTGGCAATGTAAAAAGGCCAAACACAAGAGCACATCAATAAATTTGCAATTCAGCCACCGCAAGATACGAATAGGCTTCTTTACCTTTCTTTTGCTTTTCTGAACAACGGTCTATGATGCAGAACGCAATTTGTTTATTAAACAGATTTCAACTGTCAATCATTTACCAGATTATACCTAACCATTCAGTAACTCTACTCCGTAGCTCGTCCGGTGCGAACTAACGTTTCGGAAAATTTTACTTTATTTTTCGTGTTAAAATTGCAGATACTGCATACCAGAAAAACATAAAAGAGGTTTAGTGAAGTTGAAAACTAGTGCCAGCATTCTGCTCGTATCCGATTTCAGAGTTTACTTGATGCGCATTTGATTGGATGACTGAATATCATTTAGAATCTCCAACACCTTCAGCAGCATTAAATCGGATATGGTAAATAATGGCACTGGAATTCGAAATGATGCACAAAAATTGGTGCTTGCAGAAAATGCCGCGTTTTTAATTATTCAAAGTTTTTTTATTATTATTTTGTGAGGGTTTATGTTATAGAAATATATACTTAGGATTTTTGAGTAGAAATAAAAAAACTGAATTGCTTCCTCTTAATTTCAACTAAAACTACAATTTTTTTTTATAAAAAGTCTTTCTCAGCTGTTGAAATTGGCCATAAATAGGATTAAATACCATACGCCATATGCGCAGACTGCTGAAGTCGAAGGAAGATAAAAGTATTAAAGCATTACTTCATGACTAGTATCTTGGGGAAAGTGCGGATTATGTGTATTAGGGAAGAAAGCATTCATCCATGAGATAGAATAAATGTGTTCGCGGAAACTTCCAGCGTACGGGACTGCCGCTTATGCGGCTTGAGACAAATATTGGATTTTAATTAATCCAGCGATGTTTAAATCTTATTAAAACCAACATGGGCAGAACGCAAGACAGAAGAACAACAAAAGAGCCTAAGATATCAACTGTTGCTTCAGAAGATACCTCCATTACATAAACAAGAATCCGTATAGCATTCAAAGGACAATACATACATTACGTCAATACAACAATGTCATCCAGTTTTCTCTGTATCCATCACTTTTTTTTTTTGTGTTTCATAGAGTTCTGAACCTTAACTATGTTGCTCGAGAACACTGGTGGGTGCGATTAATGTTCTTTGTCAAAATGGAGAAATATTTGTAGATTTTTTTAAAAGTCATTTTTCTCTGCTATCTAGGTATTCAAACTGTTTTCTCCTTTGAAAGGTGGCTGAAGTGACAGATTTGGTCGTCGAAATGTTCCATAGTTAATGAAGATTCTGCCGACGCGGAATTGAGATATCGGCAGACTTAGTTGGTGATGGCATTCACTATGTTGTTGCCACAAGTGTAGCTGTGGCAACAACTGAACTAGTTTTCTTCTTTTTTAACATGATAGATACATGTATATAAGTTACACAATGTTCACAAAATGAAACATAGTAAACAAATAATATAGGCAATGCAAAGTTGAAATGCATCACCAGAACTACACGAAATACCATCTTCAATGCTCAATACAACAAACGAACGATAAGATGAACGTACAAATAGTGAAATTTTCTGTCCTTTCTGCTTGACACATGCCACAAAAAGTCACATCACAGGTTTGGGGCTCGAAACCTGCGACAGAGTCTTTTTGTAAATTCTTTCATTCTAAATACATATTCATTATGCATTCGACGTTCGCTGAGTTCGGAAAACATTATTGACCGAAATGGCGATCCTAAATGCAATTGGAATTTGAAATTGAATTCAACATTAAAAGAAACGGGGTTTGCGGCCAAGAGTTTTGAACATTTTATATTCTCCGAGTTTGAAGCGTGGTGGATCGCTTTTGGCGAAGATATGGCCAATGCATCTGCGAGTATTTTGCATTTGCAATCAATCTAATTATACGTGCAGGGTCGCACTCATCCATGCCTTGTCCCAAAATGCACAATTGGGGTTAAAATAAAATAAAATAAAATAAAATGTTGTGCACAATTAATCGGAAAATACGGATGTTGGCTTAGGAATATGTAAGAAACTTCATTCACCTCGGCTTTTTCTTTTCATAAAGGTATAATAGCCAAAATTTCAAAATTACATTGTGCAGCAACAAAATACACCAAAAGGCAAAGCCCTCAAAGATGAAGGTGTATACTTTCGAAAGCAGATATAAAAAGCGAAGGATATACAAAGGTCTGAATCCATTACAGGAAAACGATGCTGAGAATCAAGGAAAGGAAAGATATCTGGTTAGAGAAGGCTGATGAAAAGGTTTAGGTGGGTGGGTGGGGAGAGAAAAAGTTGAAACAAGAAACAAAATGAAAACTAATCGAAAAGAAACAGATCGTTTAAATGCGTATGAAACATAGGTTCAAAACAAAGAAAATCGAGCTACAGGAGGTCGAAGATCTTTTGAAAAATTAGAAAACAGAGGGAGATAATAAATGAAATAAATCAGATGCTAGAGATGGCAGGTGTTTGGAAACAAAAAGTAGGCAGTGAATGACGGAAACAGATTGGGTTAATCATTAGAAAATAAAAGTTAAAGCATGAAACTCAAAACTTTCATTCTTCAGGCGGGAGAGGGAAGAACTGTAAATTTAAGGGCAAGTGGACCTGCGAGGTGTAAGATAAGCCGTAGGAGGGGAGCAGAAGGGGATGAGCAAATGAAGCAATTTCAATAGAGGCCACATCCCCTGAGGTTGTTGGCGATAATAACATCGGTGACGGCATCAAACACAAACTGGATGTTAGTTGTGTCCGTGGCGCATGTCGTGTGGCAGTAAATTTCCTTTGTAGTGGATTTGTTCTTAGCTTCAAACTGAGCCTGTATATAGGCAGCTGCCTCTCCATATTCTTGTGCACCTGAAAAGTATAGAAATTACGTTAGATTTTGAATTATTTTGCACTATAATTCTGAACTATAGTTTATCAAGACTGATTTGAAATAAAAAATAATAACTAAATGAAGATTTAGGGAAGGGAGGAGAGAGTTCCTCTGTTAATGATTACTCTCATTCATAAGATTGGATGAAATCTCACTCAGAGTAATTAGATGAGGAATATTCATTACAAATAAAACTAATTATTATTATTATGAGTTATCGCAATGAGGACATTTTAGAAACATGCAATATCATTTCAATGTAAAAGACATTCAAATGAAAAGCTACCAAATTGTGCACTTTTAGTAATTAGCGTGGCAGAAATTCCACGGTATAAATCTACAGTGGGTAAAAAAGGTATTGGCAATTGCCTATAATTGATCATATTTATTAACAAAGGAAATGCTTGGCAATTTTAGCTAGACATAACGAACACAGGAGTTAATAAATACACAAATCTAATGAAACTTTCAATTTAATAAGCTTTTTACACAAAATATACAACAAAAAAGTAAATTTGCCTGTCAAAACAGTATTGGCAAAGATCTAACTGCTATGCAAATTCTGTTATGTTGAGGTCACTTGTTTAGACTGTATAAAATGTGCAGTGCTACTTCCAAACTTTTAAAATGCTATTTTGCTAATACTGCGATAAACTGGCTTCGAATTCGAAGGAATTTATGTTAATGTTTCAGAAATGAGGGTTTAACTTATCGTGCTATAGGATTACAACTGAACATAAGTTGGCAGCCAAACGGAGTTGGTAACCTGTGCTTCATTAATGTTATTATCATAACACATACGTGCACTGACATATTGCGCCATAACATGAAATTCAGTGCCCAGAAACGTGGCTTAGGAACATCATTTGTGTTTCAACAGGACAATGACTCTAAGAGTACAGTGAACTTCACATGGCAATACTTACTCTATAACGCTCCTCGCCAGTTAAAGGCACCGCCACAATCACCTGACATAAATTTAATTGAAAATTTATGGCATAAATTGGACCTAGAAGTCAAGAAACATAAAATTTCGTGTAAAGACGAACTTAAGCGTATACTCCTGCAAGGAATGGCACAAAATTCCCAACAGGGCTTTGGTTTTTCCCAACAGGACTTTTTCAACAACCAGGACTTCTGTTTTCTGTATTAGAAATAGTTTTCTGTATTAGAAAATTTTCTGTATTAGAACAAGCTGTTATAAATGCGAAAGGTATGAATACGAAGTATTAAATTTTGTTCCCACATTTTGTTGTATGATGTTGCCAATACTTGTTTGACATGCAAATTTACGTTTTTGTTGTATATTAGATTCATTAGATTTGTGTCTTTATTGCCTTCTGCGTTCATTATGGTCAGCTAAATTTCTCAAGGATTTCCTTTGTTAGCTAGATTGATCAATTATAGGGAATTGCAAATACGTTTTTTACCCACTGTATTTGTAGCTTTGGACGGGCTGGCGCTATTAAAAGAAAGAAAGGCAGTGGCGCTACTTGGCATGCAAGGTAAAAAGTTGAAAAAATACTTTATACAAACTCAGAAATAATATACTTGTGCACTGAAGGTGAGATCCATAAATTATTCAAATGTTCACAACAGGCATTCAAGAGATAGCAATGTTGAGAAAAAGAACTATCCTACTATACAACAACTTTCCCCTCTACACTACTTAATTCCTAAAGGACCTTAAATTTCATTGAGAAACATATAAACATCTCTTACAACCTTGATTTACCGGCTGGCGATTTTATGTTTGCCCAATGAAGAAACACGAAATTTACTTCAGATCAAGTCATTCTCTCTAGGCAAAGTTAAAGAACTAATTTGACGCGAGACACAGGACAATTTTAAGGAAATAGTCCAATGATTAGTTATGAATTAAATAACTATGGAGAAGATGTTTGAATATCTTGTTATTATAAACGATTTGTTCAAGTCAGCATTTTTTACTTGAATGCTTCATATATTATGCTTGCCGATTTTTCTATTTGTCTTTCACGCATTATCTTTCAGGAGCGGTTTGAATCAGAAATAAAAGAAAAATTTCGTGCGATCTTATTATGATCATGTTTAGTAATATCTAAGCAATTTTTAGTAGACATAATTCTTCCCATTTCTTAATTCTGAGCTATCTTGTCTTCCAAAATCGCTTCCGAAGCTTTCCCGAAATATTTATATAATTAAAATTCTTTCTTGTTATTTATAATCGTAATTGAAATCATATTTAATAATGTTCTTTTCTATTGTCTTTGAAAGAATGATTCAGCTGAGATATCAGAATCAGCTGAAATATAAATCTCAAATTTACTGGAGGCATTTGTTTTTTATGCAAACTACCACTAATCTCAGGATATCGTAAAATTATTGGTTCTTTACTTTGAGAAAATGAACACGAAATGTACCGAGTTTCTTGCATTCCTTTTTCCTGAACTTATAAAGCACTAATGAGTAAATAATGAATTAGCACTTATTAAGTCATAATTTGCTCAGAGCGCTGATATAAAAAGTGCTTTCAAAAAGTACTTTGAAGCAATATTTCAACCAGGAATTTGTATAAATATTCCCCAAATCAAAGAGAACTTAGAAGCAATATTAAAGAAGACAAAATTTGATCAAATAGTTTGGTAGCCTTTAAAATTAGACAAAATGAAAAACCTTAGATTGGAACCTTAGAACCTTAGATAATCTGAAAAAATGTTTTAATGACATATATATTTTGATCCTCAGAATTTCTCCAATTCGTATGTCTACATCAAAAATTAAAAACATGATGATAATAATACGTTCTCCGACAGAAGTAATATCAGATAATTATAAAATAACGGATAGAATAGTATAAAGTTTCTGTAGTAACAATTTTACGTTTATGAAAGCATTCCATGAATCTATTGCAGTCTTTCATACGATTCCTGTAAATTCTCTTTTAGCGGTTAAGTGTATTGGACGGTAATTAGGTATTTATTTTACATAAAAATGGAAGCGAAATTAAAATTTCACATCGAAAACAAGAACACTGCATGTTTATACCCGTAATTCTACGTGACTATAGCAATCTTTCAAAGGCCTTTTTTAAAAGTTTATTTAAACAGTAAAGATGTAATTTCTTTACATGGCAACAGTGAATATCATTTTTATCTGAAAGAAAGAAACAAAGTATTTACAGGACTTCTTGTTGGTTTCTCTTACTAAAGCTCGTGGAATTTTTACCTTAATGATTGGCCTTCATTTTACATAGGAAATTTATTATATGTATAAATATTTCTCTTTACCTTAAAATATTGGATATTTTGTAAAGAAATTTTAAGCGACTCGCATATTTTGCCAAATAATTTTATTGTGTTGTTATTTTTGCTTATCTTCGAAAGATTTGACATATGTCAGATCAGCTCCAGAAGGTTGTTGACCTCAAAAAATCAGTAACTGTGTGGATCGGATGTAAGTCCTCCTTAGAAAGTCCGATGCAACCCAATATGACAATTTTATTGTAATTTAAATTTATGACAACGATTAAGTGTTCAGTTGGAATATAATGGATTATTTTGCAAAATAAAATTCGCATGATCTTTACCAATATTCATTTTATTATAAAAACGGCCTCTAATTCAAGAGCAATTATATACATAGGAAATCACGGCAATCATAGTTGTATAATTACGGCTGACAGTATTCAGTTGGAATATAAAGGATAATACTGCTAATTCTAAATCTATTTTTGATATGTACGCTAATATTGTACATTAAAATTAATTTTATTAAAACTTAGACCCACACACTATCCAGAAAATTTAAGTTTGATATAATTTTATTAAAGTCTTTACTTCGAGATACGTTATGCATATATTAAGCCATGAAAATCAGTGGATTCAATAATATCTTGCTAAGTAAAATACAAAGATCTTCCACGAAATCTAAAAGAGAGGAAAGGTAAGAAAAAGAAAAATAGATTTTATCTATATATTTGAATGAACAGACAGGATATATTCAACAAACAATTACTAGAACAACCAACACCAATCGAATACTCATTCACATAACAAGTCATACATAAATACGGTTGATAAAGAGTTTTACAGAAAATAAAAGGTATGCGATGTGTAGTGAATGGTTCGGGAAAAATGTAGGATTTAAATGATTTCGAAAAATGGGCGGTAATGAATGTTGAATAAATGAGAAGAATGTCTCACAAAAGGGTGCACTTGATAGTCTTGTTCAAAAGAGTTGTTCTGGAGAAGCCAAAAGTCGAAGTTATTTATTACTCTGGGAAAGGCTTTGAGACTGTACAATAATTGGTACTAAAAGCGAAAGGCAGTCAATAAGAAGGTTTCCTGCGGGCATGAATACACATGTAGCTGATCGATGGCAGTTCGTCGATCGTGAAAAGCAACCCACGTGCACCATTCAAACAACTACACAAAACTATTTCTAGAAAATTATACGCAGCAGTTCAAAAAGAATGAAACTAATTTACGTATTTGATATAAAGAAGTATTTATGATAAAAGAGTCACCATTGTATATCAATAGACAGGAAAAATATCAAAACTTTTTGCATCAAAACAATTTACATATGTTGTATTTGTGAAGTCGTTCTTACCAACATTCGGTAGCAAGTCTACGGAGATGTCGGTGGAACTATGAATCCCGTCCTACGAATCTGTCAGAGGTCCTTGACATATCACAGCAGGAAAAATATCATAGTGCATTCTACCACGTAGTTTTCGCGGCCAGTTGGGAAATGTCAAGTAATTAGCAATAGCGCACTCTATCCAGCCATTAAGTAGACATTTATTTAGAAGCGCAGAACATATGAATGGTAATCCCACGTGATAGCTGTTTCGCATATAAAATTTGAATCTTAACTGTCTCAATTCATAGTGTCATTTTCTTCTATCCTAAACAGTAACTTCGTACAAAATGTGATAAAAATTTAATTTTTAAAATTATCTTGCATTTCTAGTGCTGCCACTCGTCAGAAATAATTATGAATTGCATTTCAAATCAGACTATCTATTCGGATCACAGTAATATGTTCTGCAAACTGCAATAACCATTTACAGTTGGCAAAAAATCACCGAAAATTGAACCGAAATGAATGGAAGAATGCTGCCAAGTCCAAGAAATTTCGATTTCAAGTCATGTAGCAGTGTGAACAGCATGAGACAATGGATCCCGATCTCATTTTATGTCAACAGTTCGTGCTGATAATGTTTTGTTCCTTTTGAGTTCGCTGGTTTCTTAATATCCTCACGGTAAACTTTAATAATTTAGAATACAGCAGCATCATTGCTAATCAAGGACATTAAAAATGCTTTGCCTTTCCTCAGGATAAATAGATTCCTTTCCAAAAAGATAACATTTGATTTGAATTGTGAGACAGCGGTTTTAGAAACATGACTTTGATTTCCTAATGCGTTTATATTGATCTTTTCAATCTATGAATCTTCTAAGCCCTTTCAAGCACACGTGGAATGGACCTGAAAGAGTTGCTTACAACAGAGAGCTTTTTCTGACGTCTATATGATTAACGCATGCTCTCTTATTAGTTTAACTGGGATTCCATAGAACGGCACCAGAACGTCAAACATCGTTTTCCTATCCAAACTAGAGAAGCTGTTTAAAAAATCAGTGATGTTTTAAAGAGTGAACAGGTATTCCTAACAATCATTAAAAAATGAAAATCTGTTATCTAAAGGCATATATGAGATTTGCAAGTTAAAATCACTTAAGGGAATAAGTTATTTTAAATGTTATTGCAAGCAGGATTGCAAAATCAAAGAAATCAAGCATTTCTTCTTTGAACCGACAGACTACTTGAATGAAAAGGTAGCGGAGTACCTTACGGTAACAAAATTAAAAACGAAAACGAAAATGTAAAAACAAAATAAAACTACAATATATAATTGACTTTAAATATAAAGCTGCAGTCAAATAAAGCAGCTAATAAAGATTTAGGTTTTCTTATTTGAGCTATAAGAAAATATTCAATAATATAAGCTTTCCTCACCCAAAACACGTCTGACAATTATAAATATGGGTAAAAATTAAAAAGTAAACTTTGAGTAAGTTATACTCAAAAATAAAAGAGTAAAAGTGTGAAAACATGCCAATAAAAATTAAAATACAAGCAAGACAAAATGGAAACTTTTAGTGAAATTGCACATGTGGGAATGCTAGCGCGAAAAATATGTGAATTATGTCAGCCTTCACATATTTAATTTCTTTGTAAATATTCAGTTTTTTCTTTTATTTTACTTTTAATTTCAATATTTAGACATTTTACTGCTTTAATTTCGTGTTCACTTTATAATTTTGAAACTAAAGAATTATATGGGGAAGTTCATATTATAAAATACTTAACTTAAAATAAGCAAATTTAAATCTTAATTGGAATAAAGTATACTGAAAGTAGCGGTGGCACAACTTACCGGTGTATTCTGGGAAGCAAATAGTAAGAGGAGACTTCTTGATTTTTTCTTCGAAGAGATCTTTTTTGTTGAGGAAGAGGATGATCGAAGTGTCTGTGAACCATTTGTTGTTGCAGATGGAATCAAAAAGCTTCAGACTCTCTTGCATTCGGTTCTAGAAGGAAACATTAGAATGAAAATAATGTAAATAAAAAATGTAATTCATAACCTACGTTAGAGACTCAACAACTGTGATTTTACATGTTTCAAAGTGATTTTTTGAGTAATTCTGTCTTAAAGTGAAATTTATGTCAAATGGTATATTATTAAATTTTAGAAGCATTTTATAAATTATCTTTAATTTGTATTTAGGTAAGTAAGTAGTTTAGTAGTTCATGATAGCAAAGCAAAACACACAGACACAAAAGAAGGGGATAACCTACTTATACAACCTGTAAAGAGGATTTCATAAGAGAAGCTTATATAAGTTTTACATTAAGGTAAAACACGTATGTTAACACGTTTTACATTAAGGTAAGGTCTGGCTCTTTAACGAAGTCAGTAGAACTACACAGTTAAATGTTTCTCGTCAATTGCATTCAAACGCGATTCTGAAAATACGTTTTGGCTAGAAGTTATAAGCTGAAATTCAGGAAGATAGGAAAGTAACTTTTAACTAAAAATTAACTGTTAGAAAAATTAACATAAACCTTACAAGCTAAATAATCGCGATGTAAAGAAAATAATATTTTCAATAATCACATAGAATTTACGATAGTAAAGGCAAAATGAAATTAAGTTAAAATCCCGAAATAAGAAATTTTCTACATGCACTCATTCCCATAAAAATTTGCGCACCAAGAAAAGAGTTGTCAGAATGAAACGAAATTTTACATATGTAAGTACTACTTTGATATAAATAAGTGATTAGAAAATCAAAGAAAGAAAGGATCATTTATTGCAGAAAAAGTACACATGAACGGAAGTTTTAGTACTCTGTTTGACCACCTCTAGCGCGAATGCACGATTCGATACGAGCGGGTATTGAGGTATACAAGTTCCGTATGGTGTCCTGAGAAATCTCACTTCACAGTTACTGTAAACGCGCCTCTAGTTGCCAATCTCGTAAGCTGTCCAACTTGCCGTTCCAAATGATCCCAGATATGCTCGATTGGTGACAGATCTGAGGATCGAGCAGGCCAGGTAAGGGTGTTAAAATGTGGCGGAGGCAGTCTTGTGAGATCCGTGCTGTGTGTGACCGAGCATTGGCTTGTTTAAAACAGGCTTCTGGGAGCCCTGACATGTGTGGCTGCATGATGTCATGGACGTACCGCTGGACTGTCATTGTGCCATGGATCAATATTAGGGGTGACCGTGTATAGTAAGCAATGGCATCCCATACCATCACACCAACTGTGGGAACGGTGTGTCGCTGTAAAGCGAAAGCAGGATTGAGGCGTTCACCACAAGGCCTCCACACACGAACACGATTGTCATCACTGGTCAAATTGAGTCTAGATTCGTTGCTGAAGACGACCTGGTTCCATTCCGTTAAAGTCCAATCCTGTCGTGCGCGACACCACTTCAACCGGAGGCGTCAGTGGGTGGGTGTCATTGGCAGCACACGTAATGGGCGCCGCGATACCAGATGTCCTTAAACCAAGCGCCTTGCGATGGTTCGAGAAGATACAGGGGCCCGTAATAAAGCTGCTGCCTTTGTCTAAATAGCGGCCAATGAGGCAGTTGGCTCTACGCGTGCGTGTCATATGATGTGACGGTCTTCTCAACGACTGGTCTGTTGAAGGCGACCTGAGCCTGGTCGCCTTGTAAATGACGTCTTCTTCTGTCCACTGGTTCCAACACCTCCTCACAGTAAAATCAGAACGGCCTACCAGACGAGCTACTCGCCGAGCTGACCACCCAGCTCCCATCATCCCGATGATTCTTCTCCTCTCGAACTCTGACAGCTGCTGATATTGGTTTCGATGGCGGCGTAACGGCAAGTCTACCTCAGGTTTTCCTAGCAAAAGATTAAGTACGCTCAGACAAGCTCTGCTTACCTGTTTCATATTCCGAGAAGAACGAAGTTCAACGCCTTCTAGTGGCATTACGCAATGAGTAGTCACGCTGCATTTCTAATCATTTTCCTATCTACCTGACGTGTACCTTCATGCTGAGTTTCGTTACGATCCCACAATTATTTCTTGGAGCGCAAATTTTTATGGCAGTTACTAAGGACAGTTACCAAAATGCAACAGTGATTATAAATTGCTGCTAATTTTCAGGTAATTTTTTTCAATTAGTAATGCAATTGTCATCCATGCATACATAGTTATAGATAAAATATAGTTTTATATGCATGTAGCATTTTAACATTCGGAAACATATCGTACTGAAGATTTAAATAGTACAATTTCACTGCACACTTTTGAAAAACAAGAGAAGAATGGAATACAAAATTGTTTAGCGTTTAGTGTCAGCTCATCTCAGTTATTACCGTAAGCATTCAATATCGAATATCAATAAAAACGTAATCAAGACAATTTTGCAGTCTGAAATTTAAAAATATGACAATAAAAGAATAATCTTTTATTGCAAGAAAGAGTGTTACATATCTTCTTACATGCATCCTGATAAGGAGAATTTGTAGATTGTATTGCTTTGCCTATCCTAATGAACTTAATAACGGTGCGATACGACCCTCCCTCTCGCTTGCAGTTCTGAAATTAACCTGAAAAAACGAAAATATTTTTCAATCTGAAATTTAAAAAAAGATTTCATTGCAACAAATGTTTGCAATCAAATTTAACAGATGATGTAACGACGGTCAACAGCGAGACTTAGTTGAGCTGTGCACCATTCGACAAAGTTCGTTAATTGATCCTCAATCGGCTTTCAGATGCAAGCTTTACATTAAAAAAAACTGCATACATACTTCCATTGTGCCAGACCGGTGTTCCATTCAGAAGTATACTCTGCTTTTTATCTGCAGTGATCTTAAGTTGCAAAATTGCTTTATCATTTAACTCAGTACCGATACAGAAGCTCTTGGCAAGCATCCACAGTTCTATCTTTCACTTCTGGTGTCAGGCGCTTGCGAACTCATCTTTCACAAATTTCCGGAATTTGAGCTGTTCATGAATGAGCTTATTTACAACCAATAATGTTTCCATCTTCTTAACTGTGTTTCATTTTATCACGTTTTCCAGGGCTGCAGCATGCAGCACTCCTCGATTACTGGATCCGGACGAGAAGAATCCTCCGTATTAGCGACAAATGTCTTTATCTTCCCAATCCATGCATACACTTATGGATGACTCAAATGCTTGACATCCTATTGAATTTTCATCTAGTAATGAATCCATATAGATTACACTTCTTCCCTAAATAAAGATTTTTGAATACTTGACTGCTATTTCTTGGTGCATTGTTGCAGGGTCATCGCCATGTTTTCGAACTGTTTCTCCTAAACCTATGCGTTTAGGAGCGCATTCAATCTAATGTTATCTATGGGCAAATCAAGGTTGCTCATTGCCTGGTGTAACCGACACAACAAAGAAATCTGTCACATATGCAATTTTTGATATAAAATTTCCTACTGAACTGCCCAATTATGATACATTAAAGATATTTTAAAGCAATTCTGAAGACTTTTAGGTGTTTCGTTTATTTATTAATTTTATGTACTTACGGTGGTCTCGTCTTCGTGTAAGACTTGATCATATTCACTCATTGCTACGCAGAAGATGATCGCCGTCACATCTTCAAAGCAATGAATCCATTTTTTCCTTTCGGAACGCTGACCACCAACATCAAATAATCTGCAACATTAAATAGCATCGTTAATAAATAGATAAAACAAATTCGATAAATAAATGAAAACAAAATTCCATAAATAAATAAAAGGTAAACTTGAGTTTCATTAAGCATGCATTGGCAGTGGCCGATTTATGAAATGGGATTATCCCACCCCACTCAAACCTTCTGGGGGTCCTTCATCATACAATATAATCTATCCCAATTTCTTTTAATGCAGAAATTGATTTGGCAGCTTCTTGAAATGTGGGGTACCCAACGATTGCGTCTTGGGCGATACCATAAATTCATTCTTGTATATGAAAAATAAAAACAATTACTGGTACCTCTTGCATTAGTTAATACTCTTCATTTCCATGGCGCTGTTGATAATAACTTGACAACAAATACTAATCTTGTTGTTATATAAACATTCAGTTATAAACAAATATAAATCGCATAGAAAATATCGAAAACGTGTTTGGCTTCTTTCCCGGAAAATTATTTTCTTTTTTCCCCTATCACCCACTCTTTTACATTTCTTATCTTCCCAGACTTCAAGGATAAGGCTTACTTTCACCTAATCAGTATTACACCTTCATGACTACTGCACCTAATCAATATTACACTTCCGCAATATTCGCTATTATAATATTCTATTATAAGTCTTCGATAATATACGGTAGCCACCTAGGGCTCTAGTTTTGGAAAAGCGCCAGCTGCGTTCTTCAGAAATGTGCCAACTAAATAAAGCTAAATTTTGATTTGTATTACATAAGATGTTGAAATATTTTTAGAATGATTCCGGACGGTTTAATTAATGTTTAATATGTAAAGAGTATTTTTTAAATGTTCGATCTGACAACTTTTTCTGGACTATATATCTGCTTCGTAATTTCTATGACTGAACAGTTTTTCGTAAAATTTCCAGAAGTATTGATTTTCATTCCTCTTCCAAAACGTTCCAGCGTCAATCAACCGTGGTGGGTTTGCGCTTAGAAAGAGATCAAAGGCACAGTAGTCCATTGGTGAAACGCCAGGGAAGACTTTATAGGAATAAAAAGGTAAAGTAGCGGACTATATTTCTTATTTCAGATAATACGCTGTTGCCAGAAAACATTTGCTTTTTTAAAATTCTTCATCGAAGTCGTTCTAAAAATATGTAAACCGGATCTGTACTTACACACGGAAATTACTACTTACATGGCAAATCATTGCGTTAGATAGTTATATTTTTCAATAACGCTTTTAAAATAAGATTCACAATTTGGTTTTCAATATATGTACTGACGAAAATAATAAAAATGTACTTGGTGATGCAACTGGTATTCGTATTTACTTAAGTTTAAGTGTTTTGTTGCACATACTATATAAAGAAAAGTAATTAATTGCCGTATTACTGTTTATTATATATATATTAAAATATAAGAAAATTCATATGAAATTACCTTGTTTACTCATTAAATAAATTTTTTATATTAATTATACTTAAGTTTTTACTTCAAATACGCTTAAATTAAAAACATTTCATATACCCATTACTTTTTACACGTTAATGTTTTTTATAAATGTAACCATAAACTAAATAGATAAAGAAGTTCCGAACTATTAACAAGTGTAACTTGTACTTGTCAAAATCTTTTGTCTCGACTAGATTAAATTTTATTAGCAGTTAGATGCTATTTAAAATACCAGTAATGTGTTTTTATGCTTTGAATACGTGGATAACAAAGTAATATAATTAGATATTTTATTCAGGATTTATCAGAGATACAGCAACAGAAGAAACAGCTATAAAAATACAGCAAAAGTTGCGAAACATCCATTACACTATCTCGACTTTATATTTGCTAGTTTTAATTGAGTTGATGAAACTGAAGTACTTTATTTTATAATTAATTTTATGTGCATTTAGAGGAATTAGTTTGAGCATAAATCTTAAAGAAATGGATAGATGACGCCAGTTGAACCATTCCATTTATTTTTCTGTTGTACAAAATTTTCTGCTCGCGATCAATGAAATGAATTTTTTTACTAGTAATATTACTAGTAATTTCTTAGTATTTAATACTAAGCACAATTTAGATTTTAGATTAAATTGATTGATTAGAAGATTAGCGTAGAGTTTTATTTAAATTTCACAAAATGCAATTTCTGGTCAAATATGCGTTCTATGTAAGTGAAAAAAAAGTGTCTTACTTGAAATTTAAATTCTTGAAGGAGAAATGGACTTCTACAATTCCAGTCGTTTTGACACGAGTTCTGAGAATGTCTTGTTCAGTAGGCATGTAGTCTTTTTTGCACAAGCGATCTAAATCATCCAAAAAGCTGAAAAGATAATAAAAATGCCAAAAGTTGAAAAAAAAAAAAGGGTATTACAAAAAATCTAAAACTTAAAGACAATTTTTTTCTTTGCTTGTCTATACTCGATCAGTAGCCTAAAAACAAAATTGATGACGTTAAAATTAAATTACAGGAATATTTACATTTTACCAAATTTCGTACATTTATTACGATTATTTACGCAGAAGAAAAATATTTGACAATCAATAAAGATATCTGTACAATTTCAGAAATAAGCTATCTTTTCATGCAAAATCTAAGGTAATATTCTATTTTTTAGTGTCAACAGGCTGAATCTTACACAGTAGCGCGAGAGAAACAATTTAGTTGGTATTAAAATTAACTAATTTGGTTTAATAACTTATCGATTTGAACGAAAGGCAATGTTTATCCACTTAAACTACTGTTCTGAAAGCTATAATCATGTTATAATTGCAACCTAACATTTAAAAAGTACATTATAATAACTTTCACTTTTACATTAAATTAAAACGTTTTTACGTAGGTGAATCTTAAGATTATATAATCTAATAAACTTCATTCAGTTTCCAACAGAATGTCTTTTAAGGTAAGGTGACGTGGGATAACATCAGACTGCATATGTGTTTAAACCTGTGTATTTTTAGTCTGGTATGTAAATATATAACTATGTCACTATCTATTGCTTTGCACAGTTATTATTTAATTAATAATAACTGAGAGTCTAAGTTTCCTTATAAACTTTTATTTTGATAGGATGCTGTTGCAAAATGTCAACTACTCCGCACTTTTCCCGAAAACGGAAGAGCGTGACTTAAAAATGTTTTACAACCTTGTTTCATGTTTAATGGTGCAAGAGAAGAATTATTAACAAGGCTGCTACAAAATGCTTAGTTGATTTGAGCAAGGAAAACACGTGCATTCTTGCGTGACATCTATGTCAGATAACTCATATTAACTTGTAGTAGGTAACTACAATCTAACTAAAGAAATTGAGCTCATATTGTAATGAAAGTAACCAGTATACGCACAAGCTCCTTTAACGAACTTACCCCATGCCACCTTATATTCATGATTTATAATTAACGTAGTTTTATAACCGCCTTAATTCAGATTAAATAATGTCTTTCTTTGATGCGTCATGTTGCAAAATAAATTTAAAAAAAGATTAACCATTCCATAACATTTCTTATATGTTTTTCGAAAAGTCTTTCTATAAAATATGTCTTAATGATCCCATCCAAAATTCAGCGCGGTACAAATTCTCAGGTGGAATAATCCAGATCTGACATAGTTATTTAATGATAGTGATTAAAACTAATTTTGTAGGATCATTAAGTTATATCGATACAGGAGGCGTGAAAAATGTACTGTTCCCTCACCGGAATTCGAACTCCGGACTTCTTGATTATACGTCAGACGTACTTCCAATTACACCACGAAGGAAAGGGAAGGAGAAAATCCTTTATATACTTCCATTTTAAAGAGCGACTGGGAATGAGGAGACCCAGTCGCCAAATCCTGGTGGTGAGTAATTATTGTACGCCACCTTTTTGTTCGGGCACATTTTTAGAGTCTTTGGGAATTTTCGATATCAGGAAACTGAAGATATGTGCAATGTCTTCGCCGAGATTCGAGTTCCAGACCTCCCGATTGCATGTCGGATGTGTTTCTAGTTACACCACGAAGGAATACGAAAAAGAGAGTGAAGATAACTTACAAGCTTCGTCCGCGTTTTCTAACATCTTTTATTATTGATATAAGTTTAATTCCTGGATCTTACCTATTTAATAGCATTCAAAAGAAGTATCAGTCCGTGATTAATTTTAAATTATGGTATACACTCAGAATAATTTACGAATGTGGAAGTGTTACATATATTTCAATAATCTTTGACGTTTCAAGCTTTAGGTGAAAAATTAAGGTAGCATTCATTTCTGTTTTTCAATATACTAATAAAATCTCAAGTCCTTTCAGTTTAAATTTATGGGATGATAAATATTTATCATGACTTTCAGTTACGTTCATAAAATGCAGCTCGTCTATTATAAGAGCACCATTCTATTTACCAGATGTATAAATATTATTATTATTTTATATTCATGCTTTTGTGTTTGATACGGTCTTCAAAATTATTTAAATTCCCATTGTAAGGGATATTACTCGTATTTGTGAAATGATCGAGATAAGTTGTAAGTTAGATAAGGGTCTTCTTTTGAGTTTACCATAGTGTGTTAATGGCATGTTTTAAGTGTTAAAAATGCATTTGCTTTTGGAGAAAATCATAATTATTTTAATATAATATGATTACCGCTTCATGTCAGATATTTTAGCTATTTAGACAAAACTCATGAATTTAAACCTTTGATAAATCTCAGTTTTTACGGCAAAATGATTTTTTTTTCTAAAATATCACTTCAATTGCTCCAACATAAATTTTCAGACAGGAGTTCTTGCAATAATAGTATGCACAAATATTAAAATTCAGAAATTAGGCACAGTTACTTTTCTAGATTGTAGTACAGTTTATAATGCCGATTCATAAGCAATGCCGTACGTTATTGCTTATGAATCGGCATCATGCACTTAACCTAAGGTGACCAGATTTTAACATTGGTAAAGCGGGACACCATTGACCGGGGTGGATGATTAAACATTTGGTCTATATGGCGCAACAAAAATTTTTATAGAACGAAAAGTAGTATTGTAATATATTTTTAAAATTTCAACACAAGTACAATTTACAAACACATTAGAAGAAATTATGTAACAGCATTATTTTATTTTTTGGCATATTTCTCATTTGAGTGAATTTAGTAGATTGCTGTTGTTTGAAAGGTCATGAAATGTTTCACAAGAATTTGTTAAATTATATGTCACACATAAAATGGCTTTCAAAGTCTCACCACTTATGATTTTTCTGATATCCGCACTTTATTTGCCGTAGAAAAAAAAGCACTCAGTAGCAGCATTAGTCCCTGGTAAGGACAGCACGTATTCCGCAGTTTTTAGTGCGTTATTGTATGGAACATGGTTTGTTTCAAAATGATAAAAAATTTCTAACCATTTTTTCTCTATTGTGATTTTCGCTGATGTCCAAGATTTAACCTTTTCCTTATCAATATATTTTTAATAATATTATCTTATTAAAAAGATCATTTTCAGAAATATTACTATATATGAGAAATTTCGAGTAATATGATCGAATGATTTTTACACATTCAAATTAAGTTCTTGTTTTAATATAACCCAATGAATATGTTCAGTATCATTGTATTGTAAATTTATGCAGTTACTATAGAACTTATTAACGTGATTCATGATATATGCACGATTTATTGCATATTGTTCTTCTAGCTGGCTAGTACCATTACGAATACTTAACGGAAGAAAATTATTTTCTAACCGTTCTTGACATTTAAATTTTAAATTATTAACTTCATTTGTTATTTTGATTACTGAAATTTTGTCACCTTCAATACGTTTTATAGCATTTTGAAAAAGAGCTGCTTGATTGCTTAAAAAATCTAGCCAAATTTTAGAAGATTTTTTTTTCAGAAAACTCTTCTAAAATTTTAGGATATTTATCCTGCTGTGCTAGAAAGTAGGATTTCAAAGGATTGTATATCTTCAAAATTCTTTCGACAGCTGGCAAAAAAGCTCAACTGTGCGTTTTACTGTATCCAAGTATTTTCTAATATTCGACTTCCGCAGTTTCACAAAATTCTTTAAGCATTTTAATGCGCACAGTGTATATACAGTGGCTCTCAAAAGTGTTCATACACTTATGATTTTCACTGAAATAGGGCTCTATCCATTAATTAAAAGTAAACTTTCTGAATGAGATTTTAATAATAAGAATCTATAATCTATATGTAACAAAATTACATGAATTATTTTTAAAATAAGAGAAACTTTATTTTTAAGAAATTAATAATCAAAAAATGACAAACATTTTATCTCACAAAAGTCTTCGTCAATTTCAAACAAATCTTGACATATTAGTAAGTATTTTCATTTTTCTTTAAATAAATATTAGTAGGATATCCTTTAGCATCCGCAACAGCTTTCAAACGTCTAGGAATAGATTTTATAAGTTTTTTTTTTGTAATTTCTGTATCAATGTTCATCCATTTTTCCATCATGGTTGTTTTGAGTTCGCTTTTCGTTTTGATGTCGTCTTTTCGTACTTTAACCTCCAGCTCTTTCCAAATGTGTTCTATGAGGTTTAAATCTGGCGACTGAGGCGGTGTTTTCAAAACCTGTGGACAATTATAAAGACACTACACGCGAACGTTGAGAGAACTTAGAATCGTTATCATGATTAAAAATAAAGTTGTTTCCAATACCCAAATTTTGGGCTGATAATTTTAAATTCTCTCTTAAAATATTTAAATAAAGAGAATGATTCATTATGCCATCAATAAATACCAAATTATCTAGTCCTGATGCTGTCATGCCCCCCCTTCCACACAAGATCACCTCCACCGCCATGCTTAAGTTCTTAGAATGAAGTTCCTCATTTTTTCTTCTCCATACAGTTATTCGACCATCGGAACCAAAAATGTTGAATTTGCTTTCAGCAAATAGGACATTATTCCAGTACGTTTCGGGAGTATTTATCATTGATTTTGCGAATGAAAGCCTAAGCTTTCTGTTTTTCTCACTAACAAAATTTTTTTTACGGGCAGAACGCCCATGTAATCCAGCTCCTCTGAGAATTCGTAGAACAGTTTAAAGTGAAATTGAAGTAGAAATCTTTGCATTAATTTCTGCAGAAACTTTTACAGCACTCAAATGTGGGTTTTTCACAAATTTTCTAATAATAAATCTCTCATCACGTTTAGTTAACTTTCTCGGTCGACCTTTTTTTACCTTGTTTTCAATCCGATTTTCTTCTTTAAAGCGTTTTATCACATACTGCACTGTAGAATGTGATACGTTAACTAATTTAGCGATATTTCGAATTGATTTAACACTACTGTGGTGAAAAATTATAAATTTTT